CCCCAAAACCCCAAAACCCCAAAACCCCAAAATATTTCATAATAATTGAAGAAGAAAATAACGAAATGGCAGCGAGTCCTTTGACAAGTCTGAATCAATATTACCAGGTATGTGCTGGCCATAGCCAGCACTGTATGCTACTCTGGTTTATTGATCAGAGACAGTCCATAACATATGACTTGTCTCAATTCCTAAGTAATTCCTGAGGCGGCTAACCTTGTAGGTAAAACTATCTATGGCAAATAAGTATCCTAATTATATGATCAATGACCTCATGTTTGACCTTAATGATGGAGAGGTGCTGTACTCCATCACTACACACTTTAGAGCAGATGTAGAAGGCCAGGTATATCTCTTTGTTAATCCTTAGCAAGCTGATCCCGAGGATTACATTTTCATCCTTTCTGTATGGGACTGGCAGAAGTTTGGGCTCCTCGCTTCAACTAGGATCCAGCATGATGACCCAGACGGGAAGATTCAAAATATCAGGTTTCTTATTGAGAAGAAAGCTCATTATCAAAATGATAGCTTCAATGACACTTTTGATTACGTAAAGCTCTAGAATAACTTTTAGACAACTGAATCAGGAATTTATCAAGATGAGTACATATCTCATCCAGGGTATGACACAGTGTACGCCTTTCATGATTACATATAGAAATGAGGGTAATCACACTAAAGGTTGTATCACCAATCTTCCCAAGGTCTTCATGGTAGATTCAGAGAACAACGCTGCTATTTACGTGATAAAGTATGACGAAATGAGCAAAGCAGGCTCTATAAAGATACATCTTGCTGTTGATGTGGGCTCTCTTGACTTAGACAGCTTAGTTGAAATCAAGTTATACACTTATCAAGACGATGACGAAGAATCTGGGAGTTATGCAAACCCTCGAGGAAGCCAGATCGATCTAGAGCAATCCAATAGTAATCCATAGTTGATCATTTAGGGATTTCTTCTCTAGTCATACTCCAGAATCAAGGTAGAGCTGGACACGAGACTTCAAGAGTTGATATTTACTCTATTTACAAAGAGTTTTACCAGAGTTCGTATCATAATACTCTCCAGAAGATAAAATCAGTACGATTGAAAGTTCAAGCAATTGACATTGACGTGTGCCCCAAGAATCGGAACATGTCTATTCTTGGCATCAATGGAGATATCCTTCATCTTAGCTTAAGTGGTGAATTCATTACAGTTCAGAAAGCAACAGGGAATCCTTCTTATGAGACAAAAGTAGTCCCTCGAGGAGAAAGATCAATCTTCGCATTCACAACTTTGAATATTGGAACAAATTACGCTTTTGTAGGAAGAGAAGCAGGTGAAGTTCTGGTATTTGATCTCAGAGATTTTTCTCTGAAAACAACTATTTCCAATCTCGGGAGTTACAAAGGAGGTGCTTGCTCTGTAGAGAAGGTGCTAGTCACAGAAAATGATAATTTCTGTGCATACATACTTCAAGACAACACAAAAGGAGTTCTGAGGGTCAGCAACGAAACTAAGAATGCTAAGCTGATTGCTCAATCAGATTGTATTCTGGCGAATCAAGGAATCTCCAAGATAAAGTCTTTCCATTTCTTCCATCCTGAAAAGATTGAGTCTAAAGATATTAACGAAGATTACATGTTCCTGACAGTGAATGATATCGGGACTACTACCGTGTTCAGGTATCTCCCTTAGTTTTCATGAAATATAGCAACAGCTTAAAAGTGCAAGAGTTTCAAGTCTTTTCTGGTCTGAGTTCAGTCAGTTCAAAAAGCGGGATGCCAAACGACACTGTGACAGCTACGCAATTTTTACAGTCAGATGTAGGGACAGCTCCTTCGTACCTCTACTTAGGCACTGAGAATGGAGTCCTGATCAAGTTTTCAATCGGTACACAATCCCTAATCCTATAGAGTACGAAAGGAGAGAATATTCTTTTCGATTATCTGAGAATGAGATACACCAAGTTGAGGTTGTCAGAGGTGCAGCACCAATTGTCATAGTTGGAATGTATCAAAATGAAGAAGATGACTTCCTCAAAATATTGCTGTATAGGGAGGAAAAGAACACCCTTAAAGTGATGCATTGAATTGATAACTATAAGATAAGTGCCTTTAAGATTTACAAGGCGATCGCAGAATCATACACAATTATTCTCAAGGAAGAAGATGAATTTTATCAATATAACTTAGCTTATTTGATGCAGGAGAATATAAATAACGAGAGCATTGATTCTGATGTTAATAGCATAGCTCTTGGTAAGTCTTTGTCTTAAAACATCTTTGATAACGTTCACAACATGTTTTGTTTGTGCTAGCCTGAATATTTACAGTTAGAATAGATGAATATTCCTGGTTTTTACCTCATTAAACAGTAAAATAATTTGCTTTATCTCAATAAAGCAAAAATTACAAACAATTTTATATGTTTTCTTAACACTAAAATGCCTTAAAGTCCACTTTTTTCCTTCAAAAGCTGAGTAATAAGCTATTTTTACTCAAAACTCAACTGTTTAGATGGTAAGTTTTCAAGCCTCAACCCATAGACGACCTGGTCGATATCTGGAACCAAAAGACTTTGCATGAGAAAGCGCATGTAATCAGAGTGTATAAGCATTCTTCAGGAAAGATTTATTCTGAACTGTTCCTCACTAAGGAGGAAGAAAACAAGAACCTGACACTCTCAGAGAAGGAGATCAATGATATATCAGAACAGGTATGATCCCAAAGTTATCTCTAGGTATTCAAGAAAGCTAGGGAGGATTCTCTCATCATCTTTGAACTTGTTAAGGAAGAATTTCTGAATCAAAGCGATATTAGCGACCTTAAGATTCTACAACTTAGCTTTATTGAGCATGTTACAGGTAAATAAGCTAATCCCTGAAATCAAGGAGTTAGGAGGAGCTCATGATCTTAGCTCTATTATAAGATCGAGTGAGGAGAGCGAATCTGATGAACCAATCTCCCAGGAGCTGACATTCTCTACTCCAGAAAGAAAAGATCCTGTTGAAGAAGCTAAAATCACAATCGGGCAACCTAGAGAAGTCCGTTTTTATCTTGAACAATCTTCAAACGCAAGCCAGTATATAGAGAGTTCAGAGCCTGAAGGGGCTAACTTACCTTTAAGAGTTAAGTCAACTGACTTTAAGATGAAGACTCCTCAAAAGAATACCGAACAAGCTGTTGGTGTAAGCTACTTATCTTCTCCAGAGCATGGTATGTTCAATGTATTAAGTATCTAGACTCACAAAGAAACTCACTTGTCCAAGGAAGTACGAACAAAGCATTTGTGCATACTTACCAAACTGATAAGCTTTCTCTAGGTACCATGCTTATCTAAGATTTAGGCAAAACAGTGTACGACAACAGACCATATGTGATGAAATCTTCTGCATATGAAGACATCCTCAACTCACATTTGCAAGGTCTCGGAGATTTGGAATATAGTAATGACACAATTTAAACTAGCTCAATCTGTCCGCGATATCTCGGGGTTTTGGGGTTTTGGGGTTTTGGGGTTTTGGGGTTTTGGGGTTTTGGGGTTTTGGGG